TTTATGATAAACATGATGACTTAAACTTTTTTATTGTCAACTACCCTTATTTATGTAGAAATATAACATTATCACATGGTGTATAACTAACACAACTGGGAAAGTTATGTCTCCCAGTTGATTCGATACGCAAGAACATGCTCTACGTACGAACAAGTTCTTAAACGAGGAAGCCTATTAGCAAATATGTTGATGATACAAGGATATCAAGTCAACATCTCGCAAATGACCTTGATAACAAATACAATCTGTAGTAAAGTCGAATGTTGACTTCATACAACTTGGTAGGCCATTGACACTTAATTATGTACGGATTTTTTTCGTTTGGTTTGTATGACTCGTCGACAAGGGATGCTTATTCCCCCATGACACTTGATACCATTTCTGTTTTCTAAGGGTCTTGTTGACTCTGCTCACAATATGCATTGTTTATATAAATGGACTTTTGAGCATGATTTGTGTTCGGTATCTTCTTATTTCTTTTTCATACGTTGTATTCTGAGGCAAAAAAGAATTCATTAATTTTTTTTTTAGTAAATACGTTGAAACGATTATATATATATATATATATATATATATATATATATTATATATATTATATATATATATATATATATATATATATATATATATATATATATAGTAAATCGTGTAATGTTGATATCCTGGTCTGTCTGTCTGTAACACTATACCCTTTCTTAAACTCCTCTTACATTTTAAGCAGCAGCCAATTCATCTTTTGGAATATGATTGGTGGTGTCGTGAAAATGTGCAATAAACCTTTGGAATTTTCAATTTCACCCTGGAATAATTTGGGTTCGGAAAACGACGTTTTTTAATTTATTTTCAGTAGGCAATTTATTATATGGAATATGATTTGTGTTGTCCTGTGGATGTGCCATGAATTGGTTTTTGGAATTTTCAGTTTATTCAGGAGACCAGTTTAGATCCAAAAACGTCTAAACGCTTTAACGCCTTTTTCCTCATAAACAAAACTGCTTTCCTGAACTCCTTTTTAAAGAAATTTTTTGCGTTATTGAATTCCTTTTTTTCAGTAATGCATTTATGATGAAATATGCATGGAGATAACGAACAGTTTTCAAGCTCAAAGTCCATTAAAAAAATACAATACAGAGCAAACACAGACCTCCAAAAAATATCATAGGTGGAATCAGGTGCCGCGGGGGAGTGAGCATCCCCTTTTATTTAATTATTGTATGAAATAATAACAAAGAGACCCATGGGTTTCATGTTTAGCTGAACATTTTATGCTTTCATTGATATATGGGTTTCATGTTTAGCTGAACATGTTATGCTTACATTGATACATGAATTTTTAAGTAACTTATAGAATAACTATAGTTGATTTTTTACTAGTTACTAGTGTACGAAGGAGAATTCATTTAAAGGCAAACACTTACGTGCGGGTATTATCGTCTTATGCTAGCATCTAGTTCTTGGTGTAAACAAATTACATGAGTGTCCTACAATAATCTGGGATAGATCGTCGTCTGACACGAGGATGTGGAAAATGCATAGAAGTATTCTTTTCTTGCATAACCATGCGTTAATTACTAAACTAACGTAGGTGTTGTTTGTGAAAAACTTCGGGCCATATGATTAAAATAAATTAGTAGTTTATAAGTAGACATGTTTCAGACAGGGAACTAGGCTGTGTGTATAATCAACGAATTTCAAATGAGAGAGGAAGATTTTTCATCTAGGTTGTGATATATAAATTCTTTTTAAAAACTTTTATAAGATAAGAGAAAAGGTTGAATGTAATAATCATACCCGATCATTTAAAAAAAAAGTGTTCAGGGTATATTATCGTTATTCCGGACCTTGGGTCAGTCTGTGGCACTATATCCTTCCTCAAACTCCTCTTAAATTTTTATCAGTAGCCTTTAGAATACCCCGGTATGAATGGTGGTATCCTGTAAATATGCAAAGTGGGTTTTAAATACGACATTTTTCTACAAAAAATGTTCTAATAACTTTTCATTCATTTTATGCAATAGCTCTATCATCTTTTGGAGTATAATTGGTGCTGTCCTAAGGACGGAAAGGTTTAGAAATTTAGTATAAAAAATTGGTGGTACCCTGAAAATTTCAAAAAGGTTTTAAAAAATTGCATTCTAATATCCATTGATTGTGCGAACTTTGGTTGAAATTGTTGAGGTGGTTCTTAGGATGTTGAACATGTACAAAGTTAACTGACGCTGACAAAAACAACAGACAGATTCGTTTGAACATATGTTGAGCTAACAACAGAACGAAATCATATATTTCAGATGAGATCTAGACTACAGCTCTATCACTCTGTACTTATAAGGAAAACAAAAGCAGCACCTGGGCTTGAAGCATTTTTTTAAGTTTTACATTTTTATAATTTTATGTCCTGATGCTTTCTCAAGTTTACAAGATTTATTGAAATGATTTTTTTTTTTTAAATCAAGCTGAAACATTTTGAGCCAAAGGATCAAGTGAATTTTTTTCCTAATCGAAGAGTGTCCAATATCTGTCTGTCTGTTGTCTGATTTTTTTTTTCTTCAAATTTTCAACCATTTCTCCAGAAGCACGGAGTCAATATTATATCAAATTGATCACATAATATCCTTAGGTAAAAGTATCAATATCCAAATTTGTTCATATGAAGAACCACGCCCTCTCTCAAGGGGAGATTACTAAGAATTAGTGACATTTTAGTGCATCATTAAAAAATTCTTCTTTAGAACCACTGGGCCAAAAACAAAAAAAATCTTTTCTTAAAAAGTGTAGATTCAAATTAATACAAATCATGGTCACAGGGGTGGGATTAAAGTTTACATGAGAATGTCTTTTAAAATGATAAGTTATATTTATTTGCAAACATCCTAAGGTAGAACATGTACATTTATTGTACATGTTTGTTTGAACCATGACACACACACTTGGGCCACAACAGGAGATCAAACTTTTGCATAGCAATTCAGAGGACATTGATAATGGGGTTTTTAAGGAGAATAAATCATATTTATGTCACAAATTAAATTGTGAAGTTTTATTTGTTTTCTAATCATGGACTCCCCTGTAAGGGTGGGTGGCGCTAAAGTCCAAGATAATTTCTTTAGCATGAAATTTATTACTAATTTTATTTTTTAAAATCAGGTTCGCGGTATAATACTTATAAAACGCGAGCACCTAATGGGCTTTTATAAAACGCCTATAATATACGGGTGAATTAAAAAAAAAAAAAGACCAGCATATTGATTTTTTTTAAAAATAAACTTATCATAGTTTATTTTCAATTATATCATCATACTTTATAAACATTCTAGTTAAAATTTCTGAGGTTATGGAAAATTCCTAAATCCGCCAATTTTTGTTATTATTGTAAGAACCACACACGCTAATTCTCGATACCCGCCTACATTTTACAATTTTACAATAATTCAATATAAATGGCAATATGGCCATTAAAACTTGTTTGAATGCTGAGTAAAGTTCATTAGTAATGGATAAATAAGTTGTTCTTATTTACACATAAGGGGGTAGAAATTTTTATCAATTGAAATCAGGCTTTAAAACATTGCCAGATTTTTAAATACTCGTGGAATTGGCTAATTGACTTATAAATATTTCCGTATGTTTAACTTATGTAAAATTCAACACGTCAGATTGATTAAGTACATTTCTTTTATCTGTTATCTCATTTGAAATTGGTAATATAGTGACTTTTTCGTGTTTAAGTCTATAAACATACCCCCACTCCCCATCCCCCCCCACCCCCAAAAAACATTGATATGAATTTGTGACATAACAATTCATAGTACCCGTAAAAAAGAATTGTTGTTTCACGGGGGGTGGGGGTGGGGTGATGTTTTGAAAGTAAATTTCCGTTTTCCGTTGATTTCTATAGTGAAAAACACAAGTTTTAGCAACTTAAAGATTTCTCTCTCTCTCTTTGTTTTCCCAATTAACTTGTGTTTTATGAAAAATAACAAATATGAAAAATTATTCAAATAAGTTTTTTTGAAATTGACTAGGAGATAGTAGACAGAACAATATTATTGATCCACGTTCTTTTCTTGCTATCATAGGATTTATAAGATTAATGACATAATTGGCAGCTATATTTAGCCAATATCAAAAGACATATGCTGAGTTAAAGCTATATATGGCGTATCTGAGCTAAAAAATAAAAATACGAGACTGAGTGAAGATAAACATGATATATGTTATTTACGCTCAAATTTAAATTTTCACCGATTTTGAACTAGAATAACCTCACGTCTCTATGGTCAAATTGACCTTAAATTGTGTCTGTTATTTAAATGCGGAGTCGGTAAATAATTTTAAATCGGTTATTGTTTTAAATTTCTAATATCTTTGAAACGTGGTTGATTTAAATTGTGTAATTTACAGGAAAGTCCTATCTTTATATAAAGTAATAAAATAACTAGAAAGATCTTTTTAATTTTAGTTAGTCCGAACTTATAAAAATACGCCATATATGACTTTAATTCACATCGCCTGTATTTTTAGTGCAGATTGATAAACATGTGTCCGGTCATTTTTTAAATTTAACCCATACCTTGGAATTATCTTACAAGGGACGGGCGTAAAACTACAGCAATCAATAAATTATTACCATATACCGTGAACATAAATAGGAACTTTTATAAAATGTTTATTCAGATGTTATTTTTAGAATGTTTAATATTAAACATGTTGGAAATGTGTGATAGAAAAATTAAAATGAAAAACCTACGGAGCCAATGTGTATACATAGGAAGAGAGGTCCTGTCCACAAATGCTATTTATTGATAATGAGAGGCTAAAGATCATCAAACCTTGTCAGGTGGGTAACGTGGTCTTAGAATTTTTAAACCACAATAATCTTCTATGACTGATCATTCTTCGGTGTCAATTTTTTTAACTTGAATAACAAAACGCCTAAGATCATCAACAATTTCTCTAACCTCTCTCTCCTCCACAATCTCTTCCACCCAAGTCTTCTAACTCTGTCCTAACTCTTTTCCCCCAAATTTCTCTCCCACTCTCTCTCTCTCGTCACTAAAACTCTCCAAAATCACTTTCTCTCCACTGTCTCTTCCCCTTTTAACAAACTCTCTCCACTCACAGTCTCTCTTTAAGAACAACAAATGGAAATCTGTGTAGTTTATAACGTTCATGTACTGTACATACAATGACCAAATCGAAGCCAGAACTAAATCTTAATGAGAAAACTCCTTGCAACACTCTCTCTTCACTCTCCACTCTCTCTCTCTTCCCCTCTTTCCTCCCTCTCTCTCTACTCAGTCTCTCCCCCACTCACTATCTCTCTCCATTCTCTTTCTTCCTTCTCTCCCCACTCACTCACTCTCTTCTCTCGCTCCCCACTCACTCTCTCTCTCTTCACTCTTTCCCCACTCACTCTCTCCTTACTCACTCTATCTTTCTTCCCCCTCCTACTACTCTCATTTTCTTTCTCTCTCCCCACTCTTCTCTTCTCTCTCTTCGGGGATGGTGAATTTTTTGGAGGGGGTGAGATTGTACGTATAACTAAATTCTTATTAACATTTTCTAATTCTATATGGATCTGACATATATACAAAAGCATAATTTAATTTTTTTTAAGTGTTTTAGGACTGTGAATTACTGTTATCACCAAAAATTTCAATATTGGTTGAACAGATACAAATTAAATCACACCCAATGATTCTTAATTAGTATACTAAACATTCTTGAACAGTTAATTTGTCAAAGAAATACATCTGTATCAGCGAGGTATAACAGAGAAACGTGCAACGTATGTTCAACTACAGCATTTCCTGTGAAAATTAACTCATTTACTTACGTCCGCTTCCCTTTGTTGATAAAAATTTAACTGTTAGAGTTTTCCTTAAATTATTGAAATTAAAGACTTCGGATATAAATCATATAATTTTTTCCTATTTTGTTCATGCGTATGTAGAAAATTTAGCTAGCTTTACTGTACTCTTCTTACACTATAGATCAGGGATGGGGTCAATTACTTTAAAAAGTAATTAATTAAATTACAATTACTTTGACTTTTTCTTCAATTAAATTACAATTAAATTACAGGCTTTCTAAGACATGTAATTAATTAAATTACAATTACTTTGCAAAAGTAATTAATTAAATTACAAATTACATTTAATTTTTTGAAAATTTTTATAATCCTTGTCAATGAATATACAGAACATCATTTATTTGTATATAAGCTCAGCCTCTGCACAAACAGTACTAGAAATAATATGTTATAGGCATTGTGTATCGTTCTGGTTGAATTAAATTTTATAACATTTATTTACAAAACAATAAGAATCTCCTTAAAGAACTATCCGAGATCAGTTTGATGCAGTTTCCACCACACAAAACCTACATGTACACAAATTGCATGGCTTATGATATTTGATTAAAAGTAAGTATTTTAGTAGAGTGAAATGAGTCGCAACTGTAACCCCTCAAATTAAATATTTCCTTTGAAGGTAACCTGAACATCCTAAATTGCTATTTATGTTGAACAATTTTACTTCATAAATCAGAATTGTACAGATAGAAAATTCATTCATAAAAATCTGTTTAGATGTTAAAATAATTATCAAATTGAAAGGTTGTTTTTTTCTAAAGCTAGCGGAGCATTTTAAATTGAAATAATTATCTTCATTGGCTTTGTCTTCTAAATCATGGAATGAATATCTCTTTAGAGGAGTTGATTTGTTTTGATTGCAATTTAAAGCTGTGATTTGGAGGGCAATTATCTCTTCCCAACAAGAGAGAACTTAATTAATGACATACACCTTCTTTTTCTTTATTATTGATCAAACAACAAAGATTGAAATATAATAAATGTGTGTTTCATAGCTGAATAGACCTAAGATAGGTGGTTCAAAATTCATGTTTATAAACATAGATCAAAAAATTCAAATTTTACATAATGATTAGAAAGAAAATAGTTTATTATTATCAAGCCAATCATTTAATTATTTTGTAAGCATTAACCTAAGATTTTGTATAAATGAAGGATTGAGGATATGTTTAACAATACAATAAAAACCAGTAAAATGGGGAGGTAGTGGTGACGATATATCATGAATATATCATGAATGTGTATTATGTAAAGTAATTGAATGTACATGTAATTGAAAAAGTAATTGAAATTACATGGTATTTTTTCAGTGTAATTAATTAAATTACAATTACAAGTAATTGAAAAAATGTTCAATTACAAATTACTTCCAATTACTTCAAAAAATGTAATTAATTACAGTCAATTACAATTACTTTTTTCAATTACCCCATCCCTGCTATAGATACATGAATTTTAGGGGAACTAATTTGGACTTAATCGTTCGTGGATATAATTCTAGATCCTTTATCGTTATTATGCTCCTTGAAACACAGGATATGATATTATACTTATACTCTATTGACCATAGATTTCCACTTACTCGCCAGTGGTGAACCACTTCTGCCTATACGGGTCTCTTTGAATGGGAGATGTAAATTGATTAATTATTGGACCATTCAATTGCAACGTTTACCGTTACTCAAGCCATTTTAATAACTACTGGGGTTATTGGGAATAATGCAGATATTGTTCAATGCAAAATTCGGGTGGGGGGGGGGGTGAAAAAAATTAAATGCTGGCATGACATCAATACCTGCAGTTTGCCTCTAAAATTCTTCTTTGAACCAAGGTAACAGCTAGTGAAGAAGACAATAACAGTTATTCCATAATTTATAAGTTCAAGTTCAATTTATTAATCCAAACCAAAATACTGAGTATTGGTATGTGGGGTACATTAATAACGTATAATTATTCGTTTTATATCTACTGGTCACAGATACAAAAACATAACAGAAAATGAATAAAAATTAAAAAGAGGGGAGGAGATACTGTATAACGGGTTATTTTTACTGCGGTAAATTTACGAATTTTGGTTCAGATAGGGTGATTTAAATTTTTACGCGTTAATTTTTTTTACGAATTGAGCATGTCCGTAAAAATTAAAATCAAGGAGGATAAACACCATCATAATTATTAGGAGAAACATATATATAGTTTTATTCAGAATTTTTTGTTTTGAATTGACAACAGTTTCATAAATTTAATAACATTCCATCTGTGAGAATAATAATTGCCCAGGTAATTTTTTCTAACATTCACTAAAGCTTTACATTCTAGAATATAATGAAATTCATCGGCAATTTGAACATTATTACAAAGTGTACAAACTCTTTCGAAAAATGGAATACCATACCATCTTCCAGTTTCTACTGATAGATGATGGTTTTCAGTACGAAATTTAAAAAAAAATTCTAAATTTACTTATTAATATAATTTTCAAATCCAAATTTTGTTTAGAGATTCTGTAAATTTGTCCCTTTGAAGGGTTAATTACGTCACTGGACCACTTTTGAATAAATTAATTTTGAAATATTTGTTTTACAATAACAGTTATCGATTTATGATTTATATCGACACCCTATTCGTACCATATACGTTTGATAAACCACACATATTACAAATTTTCTGTATACAATCTAACCATGGATTTGTTACATTTCAATCATAACGCAGTTTAAACATATATGTACCGGGGTATATAATACATTTACAATTATTTTTGCGGACCTGAAAAAAAAGCTTTGCTTAATATGAAATCATTCTACAATATACCGAAATATACGAGGAAAACGACCTGTTTCACTATAGACCATGTACGATGGCGTGGAACTTTTCAAATTCAATACCTGCTTTAAAAATTTCAAATGGAAACGTTCAATAACACCATGATTTTCATAGCTCCATACTTCAGAGCCATATAATAAGACTGGTACTACAACTTTATCAAAAATGTCAAACTGGCTTTCAACTGATAATTTAAATTGTCTATTTTTTTTATAATACAATATATCTATATAGTATATACATATGTATCTATACTTGAGCATAAATTGCTTAAGTCGGCATGTGGCCCATAGGTCTGTTATGCATTTCATACAATAACTTCGTTATCAGTCTAAAATTCAAGAATTTATTAAATCATATCAAATTCTGTCTATAAAGAAGTTTTTTTTTTTTAAAAATTATAATAATAATAATAAGGTTGTTTTTTGTTTTTGCTTTGTTTTGTTTTTTTTTTTTTCTGTTAAAAAAAAGAACAAAATAATGTTCTGTCCCTAGGTGGTCTCTTCAGCCCACTGGATAGAAAAGAAAATCCCGAAACCTTGTTGCATATCTACAGGATACCACAGCCATGTTCTAAAAGTTTAATTACAAGCTTATCTTTTAAAAAGATTGGTGGCATAATAAAATACAGAAGAAGATATCTGAACCATTTACAGAAGAAGATATCTGAACCATTTGTTAAATTTGCTGAATCGATTAATTATTAATAGGAAGGCAGATTGGTACACTGGGGGTTGAGTTTGGGGGGGGGGGGTCACAATTCAGAATGGTGAATCTAAGAGCGTGCTTCACGTCGGCAATGGCATAACTCCTAACTGTGCTTTAAGCATTCTGAATTTTACTGTAATTTCAATTTCGAGGTGAAAAATAAAAGGTCAGTAGAACCAATGAGCACCTTAATTTGGGCCTTTCCGGCAAGCTCGGAAAACATATCCGAGGTTGCCGCGGTTTTCCGAGCTTGCCGGAAAGATCCATGAAGGTAGATTAGAAAAGCTATGTATACATTACTGCTTTATAAATAATAGTCTTGGTTTTATAAGACCCGAGTTACTGTTACTTTTTGTTCATTTACGTGCAGGTTAGACAACAAAACACGAAACTTCAGATCATATGTATTTTCAGATGATAAACACTAAATTGACATGTCTTTCCGACATACTCTGAAAAAGATTGTTGTGGTTGTTGTTGTTGTTTTTTCCGAGCTTGCCGGAATTATCCACTAAAGTTGTAAAACTGTAAGGAAAGCTAGATGTCTAGAATCTTGGCATTATATGGCCAATTTTTTTCCTGTACTTTTATGTGTAGGTTAGACAATAAATTAAAAAAAGAATCAGAATCCGGATCTAGACTGGTACTGACTCTCTCTCTAACCTACGAAATGTATTTCGCGCATATCAGACAGGAAAGGCCAGTGTAAATTCGGATCATTTCTATTTTTGTATGACAAAACGAAATTCTTATCGTACAGTCTATCTACAGTAGTTTTCCCAGAATCCCCGACCGTGAAATCGAGCATGCGTATTTCAGAAATATAGACTAACGTAGTTGCTAGCGCTCGAGAGCGCTAGCAATTATCTACTTCATAAAACGTAAGAGGAATTCTGGGAATCAGGTGTTCATAGATAACGTCGTTTCGCCCAAAATTAACATCCGAAACCTTATTGCATATTATCTACATGTCAGCAACAATCATATTCCAAAAGATGAATTGGCTACTGGGTAAAATGTAAGAGGAGATCTTGGAACCAGGTTTTTGTGAAAATAAAAAATTAAAACCTTATTATGCATCTACAGAACACCAACAATCGTATTCCTAAAGAAAATTTGGCAACTACATAAAACGTAACAAGAGTTCATAGAAAAAAGATCATTTGGTCAAGAGTAAAATGAAAATTCGCATCTGAAAGACACGACCTAATATATTATGAAAGATAAATTGACTACTGCATAAAATCTAAGAAAAATCTGAGGAAAAACATAGTCTAGAAGAACGACTTTATCATAACCTCAATTAACCCCCAGGGTGAAAATGAACAATTTAAGACGTTAATGCGCATTTACGGGACACTATCTACACTATTTAAAGAAAATGAATTAATCACTGCAAAACAATCTAAGAGAAGTCTGAGGAGGAGAATATTGTAGAAAACCCGCGTTTTTCGACCCCTAATTGGCCTCTAGGGTAAAAATGAAAATTTTAAAACCTACTTGCATATTCACAGGACACCACCTATCATACGCCAAAAGATGAATTGAATTCACCTCCAGCAAATTCACTAGAGTCATTGAATAATAATAAAGATTTTATATCAGCATGTTTTTTTTTAATTTAATTCAGCGATGGAATAGTACAAAGAACCATAAACTGAGTGAATGCAAATTTTCAAAGTTCACTAATCAATATTTTATGAATGATTGTGTACTTGCTAAGCAATAAGCATATTTGAAAATTCAGAAACTTACTTTTAGGCCATAATTTTAAAAAATACATATTGAAACTTTTCTTCATTAGTCTTTTTTTTCATAAAAACATTACATTCTTGGACATCTTGACGATTCTAAAGGAGGGAATTCAGTATTATAATCTTTTCACAATAATGTAGCGTTATGACATTCCCTTGGGTCCTCAGCAGCAGGATATATGCACTCAAGTTTGAATTCATTCCAATCTAGGGTTCCACAGTTATAACTTTGACACCATTTCATCATCTCATTGCTCAGTGACATAGACCTTGATTTCTAGTCAAAATTCACGCATCTTTCTACTCATAATTATATAGTTTTCTGCAAAGCCTTATAAGGTCCTTTCTGTAGCTCACTGAATGAAGGGGACGGCAAGTACAAGTTGTCATTCCTTGTTTAGCTGATATATTATATGAGAAAAAAAATCTAATTTAAATCTTACTTTCACTGTAATTGTTTCCGTAGAATGAAAAATGAACATAACGAACAGTAATCAAGCTCAAAGGTCCATTGAAACAATACAAATTGGGAGCAGAGCAGACACAGACCTTTAAAAACATCAGAGGTGGAATCAGGTGCCATAGAGGAGTAAGCATCCCCTGTCGACTGGTCACACCCGCCGTGTGCTCCTAGCTTGTTATGACCAGGCAAACGGAAAAATTGATAGACAATGCAGTGTGAAAATAATGGCCTGGAATTTGTATGAAACACGTCAGTCAATATTCAACTTAATGATAGATTGTATTTGCTAAAAAGGTCATTGTATCGACCATAGAATTTGCAAAATGTTGACTTTAAACGATATCCTTGTATCATCGACTTATTTGTCAATAGCCTGTCTTGTTTTAGAAATTGTCTTTCATGCTTAAACAACAAAAACGTTTTCTGGAAATTTCAATCAATTAGAATGATCTTCGATTCATACAAGACAGAAACAGATTGTTATTGTATATAAAACTTGGGCTAAATACATGTACGTAACTGATACTCAAATGTGTATTTAACTACATATTGTTTTGCATCTAGATCTACATGTGTAATTTGCATGATTTACATCTGAAGGTGCGTGAGCCATGCCCCTTCGACCTGTCTCTTGGAATTCAATTTTGGACCTATATGGAGGAGGAGAAATTTCAAGGCAGTTGCTAGATGGCCTTTGTTTTCAAGCAATTTTTATTTCAATAACTTTCATTGCTCGATGAACTTGACCTTTGAGACCTTGATCTTAAATCAGGATGATAACATACCTTGAAGTTATGAGCAATTAACATACTGGTGTTATAGAGTAGGATTTCCCCCATAGCCAGCCCCCCCCCCCCCACTTGAAAAAATC